GGCGCAGAGGGGGCCGCGGGGTGCCCCTGCCGCTGCCGCCACCCGGAAGGCCCGGTAAGCGCCTGTGGCTACTGTTTCCCCATAAGGGCCTCCGAAGCCATAGACTCCTGTTAGACCCAGGGTAAAGAAAGACAGGGGAAAAGCTGTGAGGGGCTCAGGCATCTGGGAAGGCCCCTCGCAGAGACGCTGCTGCCTCCTTCCACCCTTCGGAGTCAGCAGGGAGGGCTGCGCTTCTGCAGGCTCGGCTCTGGCGGGCGATGCTGCCCGGGAGCAAGCCACCACCACTGAGGAAGCCCTGGCCAAAGATGCCCTGCTGCCTTAGCGAGCACGGAGTCTCTTGCCCACGTAGCAGGCCTTTAACCTGGGTTTGGAATGGGCATCCCGACTTCTACGGCATAACGAGCAGTGAAAGGCTTGTGACAAATTATTTTGGCAAAGAGCTCCGATGGCTACAGCTGTGGCACCCCAAGAACGTCTTACTCCCAATGTCCAGTATCAATACATCTACGGGCCTTGGTACCAGAGAGATTCTGAGAAAGGGAGTGACTCTAGATACGGCCTGGAAGGGTTGTATCAGTATTTACATTTAAGGGTGCCAACTGTTAAATGACTGTAGCAAAATACAGAGGGGTGGGGAGGAGGAAAGGTTGTCTTCAACTGTGTCCTCAACACAGTTAAACTGTGTCCATCAATTTAGGCATTCTTAATATTTATGAATATAAACATTTTGAAGCAATGCCCAGTGCAAGTAAGAGCCTTTTCATACCATCCACTGTTGCTCCATTCCTCTTTTTTCTATTTCATATAATAGCGGTAGAAATATTTTGATCTGGCACAGTTACTAAAAACCCTGATGGAAATACGCAGCAATACAATGCATTCCACATTGCTAGGCTATGGCTAATAAAAGTGACAACAAAATACAATGATTGGCACATGCCAACACATGCCAACCACTTGCTTTTAGCTTATTTTCCCTATGAAGTTGAACAAGAAAATCAGTTCATAGTTTTGGGAACTTGAAAGACGAGATAATGCTTGACACCAACATGTTTCGCACCGCCGCCCCATCACTTACCAGCAAAGCCTCTCCCCCTGCCCTGAGGTGGTGGGACTGGCCCAAAGTGTCGAGGATACATAGAAGCTGGATAGAAAGGCATGGCAGGTGGCGGTGGGAAAGGGAGAGGATGGTTCTGCCTGGAGAAATTTAATCCTTCTAGGATGCTCTGACGCATCTTTTCAACCTTGGCTGCCTGCTCAGCCTATGAATAAAGAGAAGGTCACAAAGAGACATTAAAATTCTGTTTTCAACTGTATAAAGCTACATTTACACAACAAATTCAAAGAACAAAGCAAAATAATAGAAGAGTTGAAAACTACTGCAAACAACTTCCATAAAGCTAGCTAGAAAACGACAATAATCTGTCTTGCATACCTGCTAATAGTTCAATGATAATCCAGTTGTTCACAAGAAAATCTTTACGTATTGGTAGCGAGATGGGAGTCTAAATACCGAGACAGTTCAGAAGTCGGTAACACAGAAACAGTTTACAAGTTAAAAAGGGTTTTCCAGAAAGGAAAGGAGAAACCTCCGCCTATAGTCTTCTGAACACTTAATGCAGCCCTTCACTTTAAACAGAATAAACATCATAAATCTGGACTGCAAAACATTATCTACATAAACAGGCTAATGCATGCCTGGAGGCTAACGAGCCTGAGAGGGACCACAGCCATCATCAACATTTAATCTATGGTCAGTCTCCCTTGAGTCAGAAATAAGCAGAGGAAAGCTGTTTTGTTAAGACTTCACACCTCCCAAAAAATTAAAAAAAAGTTTTGGTCATTCAGTAAACTGCTGTTTTTTACCAGTTTCCTGTTTTTACAGTTAAATAATTACTTTGCATGATTTGGATACAACAAAAACTGAATTCATTTGTATTTTAAGACAGCTGTAGGAAATGCAAACAGATTTTGAGCTTAAGGACCGTAAGAATGACTTCACAGTGAAAAAGTAAGTTATAAATCACAAATTTCCCTTCACTGTAAAACCACTGCAGCTTAGCCCTTTGCGACAGTCTTGCTAGCTTTACCCAAAAAGCCAGTACTTGAACAAATGATTGGAGACAGTTTGCAACTCAGAGTCATTCATTACATCACGAGCACATTCAAGTTTCAGTTTCCAGAGAGAAAAAAATGAAATTAAAATTCACGCCAATTTACTTTTTCCATATCTACCAAAATGCCATCTCCATCATCAACAAGAGACAGGAGAGTAAACAGAGCTGAAAAATACTTCTTAGCAGAGGCGATACGTGCAGCAGATGACTGCTACCCAGCCACACCGAACACTTCCGAAACCCTGGCACACTCGATGCTCTGCTACCCCTCTGCCACCACACACCTGACCATCACAGAGGTCAATGAGCGGAACTTTCTCCCGGCTTGCTTTGATGAGCTTGGTCTGGAATAATTTTCCATCAAAATACATCCATGGACAGCAGTGCTCCCACGGAATTGGCTGTCCGCACGCGTCGTTTGCAAAAAGCGCCATATCCACACCGCTCATAAATAAAGCAGACAGCTGAATTCCTCGGGGATCGAGATTCTCAATCTGTGTAAAAAAAATTGTAAATTTAGTTAGACGATAATGAGACGCAATTCAAGGTTATTCCAGCTGTTACATCATTTTCAGAACTCTTGAAAACAGAGTGATTTTGAAAGGTCGTCCAGACTTCTCAGATGTAATTGCCAGTTTGATTAGAAGACTGCGCCGGAATCTATCGCCCGCATATGCAGACCTGCAGCAGCCAGCAAGGCGGCTGTTCCCATCCATCCACTCTAGAGATCAGAGATCAAACCAAATCTCTCTATTTTCTCAACAACAAAGCACGGGGAATTATTTCTAATATTTTATAATACTATATTTAATATTTCTAATGTTTAAACACAATTCATTATCAAGAAGGCAGTAACAAGTTTTAAGTAAAATACTCATCTTGAATTTGTGGGCACGTGGTGTCTAAAACACGCAAGATGCATGCATACTTTAGCTGCATTAAGAGCGTTGATAAACGTGCAGTGCAGAGGTTTTCAAACAATGCTAAAGCATGTTATAGAAAGGAAAAGCTTCATAGGCACTTACAGGAAATTAGCAGTAGAAAATTTTATCAAGAATATATTTCGAATAATCTTGTGCTTCCGAGATATTTTACAGGAAGTTTCAGGAATGAGTTTAATGTTAGCATTCAATTTTTCTTCCCACGTACCACACTTCCCTTCCAACTCCTTTATAAGGGATTGTCTATCAGCTTGATTCACGATTTTGCTGCGAGAATGCATCTCTGATTAATGAAGTAAAGTTTATGCACACAACAGCTTTATTCAGGACGCAGGACAGATACACAAAGGTAGAACTAAATAGTGAATAATAGCTGGTGGTGGAGGCAAAAAGGATTTGCTTGCAGGAAATATATTTTTAGCTCTGACATAAGAAAATATCACTACTAGTGTTCTCTAAAATACTTCTGAAAATATCAGCCCTTTCTTGGGAACATTTTCAAGACCTTGGTATTAAATTTTAAAATTAAACTACATTACCTTCATTTTGCATAAGCAAACTTTAAGATCCCAAAGACTACTCAGACTGTTTTGCAGATATGCAGCTGGGTTCAAACTCTGCTGCTCTTTCTCTCTGACTTCAACAAAAAAGGAAGCAGCAGCTTCATATGAAGACAGCAACAACACTGCATGAAATATCCCATCTTTCAGCTAGCCAACATATATTAAGGAAATGATTCATATTGCTTTTCATGTACAATTTAAAAATAAAACTCGGAGAACAATTTCTATTAAACCCAAACATTGTATGCTGCTTATCACTTGCCTTGTCTCTGCCCTTCATTCTGTGTTGGAACAGAAAAAATATTTTCTCTGGGAATTCCTTTCTCAGATCTCTAAGACCAGCAGTCTTCACAGTGGGGTTTCCTCCTCCTTGCACCAAATCTTAAGACAGAGGCAAGACTTTCATAACTCTTATAGATACCTTTGCCAAAATCTCTGCCCCTAGCTGTTAGTTGTTTAACTGTGTTGTGTTTTCAGAACGGCCAGTGAAGACAAAGTGGCTGACACACTGCTGTTCTTTAACGCATCCAGCCTTGTCTCCAAAGCTGTCATTGGAATTCCCACCAACACCCACAGGTACAGCGACTCAGCTTCAGGAGAGCTGGGGGCAGGTGTCTGGAACCATGCTCTCATGGTTCTCATGAGACGTTTAAAGGTGCTCTGCTACTCCTCTGCCAAGTCCAATGTTCGTCACCTCAGCTGACCCAGGTGCATTTCTTCTGAACACACACGGTAACTCACCGTCAGTTCATTCCTTTGGCAGAGGTTGGCCACGTGCTTCCCCGAAGGCAAAGTACTGCCCCTGTGACAATGCAGACACCCTTGGACCAGAACCTCTCGAGTTCAGAAAGGCCCAGTAAGCACACAGGGCTTCCAGCATGAATGTGTAGTAACCACCTTGAAAAGGAGTTCCAACAAACACCCAAATAATCCTCCTGACAGACGGCATCTACATTTAGGGTGCTTTTAAGGAACTGGCCACAATGAGTGATACCCAAAAATGCTGTTCTCCGGAGGCCAGAATCCATGCCAGCAGCAATCCAGTCCTAAGTGCTGAAGCAAACAAGCAGTCTTGCGTGACCTCATCAGGTGTCACCATAGCTGTCTTCATCCTGTGCTTCTTCACATCTTTTTCAGCAATGATGGAAAGGCCAAATAAATCTCTTCCTATTGGAATTGATTTATTTATTTATTTACCTGAGCCGCCAGCATTCATTCTTTGATACAGGGGAAGAGGATTTTGTTTTTCTGTTAACTCTGCCATTATGATTGCCAACACGTGAATTCTCTACCTGCTGTGTGGCAAGTTCAAAAAGGTGCCAAAGTGGATTCAGTTGTTTTCTTCCCCTTACATTTATCAGTACTGCTGGGTTTCCACAAGCAGACTGATTTCCTTTCTAGATCGAGACAGAGAAGTCCTTGCCAGGGTGCTACATGCAGGAGTGCAAACCAGATTCTGCTCGTCACCCACAGAAGAGAAATAGCCTGCTCTCGCAGACTTGGTATCAGCGGTGAAATATCCCTCAGAAAAGCCTAACAGCTGACGTTTGTGTGAGCTTAACTGCTGTTTCTTCTGAGAAGAGTGGTGCTAGGATTGCTGCTTTTCTCTGTGCCCCTCTGCCGCGTGTGCCTGCGAATACAACCCAACTCAGGAAACAAGTGCCACTTTCTCCTTGCCGATTTAAGTAAGGACAGCACGTATCCAGGCGCTGCTAGGAGCAAAACTGGTCAGTAGACTTGCCTGACGTGAGCCCTACAGTACCTGAACGACCACCTGAAATGACTTCTTCAACATGAGGTTGCGTGATGAAGAGGCGATCAGCATCTCACCGCCTTTGCTGCGTCGATCACCAATGCAGACAGGAGCTAAGCTGGATCACTGCATTCCCTACCCAGCCTAACAGCTCCCATAGCTTCCAGTTATCAAATACACCTTTGGGCTTAAGATACATTATGTAGAAAAAAGTATCTAAAATTACTTCCATTCAGAAAAATACTTGCTTAAAAAAATAAAAAGGACCAAATTCTACCATTTTATTCAGAGAACTTCATAGTAGGTTCTGAACAAATTTTGAAGAGCAAAACAATGTAAAAGCAAAAAACAGATCTTGCATATTTTGCCTCAAATGCTGGAAGAGAAAATTTCACTGTGAGCATATGAAGGTTGAACGAAGAGATCCCCCAGAGTAAGATGATGTCGCACAGATTGATAGGCATTCTGTATTTACGATAAGGATACCACACTAAACAACTCTACCAATTAGCTAGCAGAATCTACTTCATATAATACTACTGTATTAGAAAAAATAGAAACTTTGAGATCTTAACTTTTAAAATCCTCAAAATAATTATTTCTACAATTCTGTATTAATAAATTGTTCTCCCTTCTTTCCTCCTGCATTTTTCCACTCAAGATTATGCAAGCTTCTCTCCGTTTCCACACTTAGCTGCAAAAATCTTTTGAATGCTGAATCATGAAAAAAACCCAGGTTAGTATTCAAAAACAGAGACACAATGAAGAAGTATTTTTCTTTCTTTTTTTAAAAATCTTTTCAGTGGAATCACATTTGTTTCAAACTTCCCAGACATGATTACTTAAGAAATTGTGAGAAAAGGTTCTGCAGTATGGAGTATGTTTAAGATTTTTAGTTACCTATCCAACCAGTGAAACAGAACTAATTATCAACCCTTGCAACACTTTAAAATACTAAGATCACCATTTTGTAAAGTATAGGTAATTATGCAAGGCTTTTAGTGAGAGAGGCACATACACATCACTCACTACAGTTAACAATATCGATCAGCTGGCAATAAATTTCTCAAATTATGAAAGTTACAGTTAAGAATTACCTTGAGTTCCTGAAGCTGGTCAGGTTCATAGAGCTTTGGAGACAACGCTTGAGCAAGAAAAGCATCAAGTTCCTGGCGACGAAGTATACGAACCCCCGGCCACTGTACCATATACCTACAGAGAAAGCCCGTAATTATTCAGAAGCTTCCTTTAATAGGTAAATCAAGTGGCATTTTCTGTGATCAGAAGTCACCACAACGCAACAACAAAGTATTTTTTGTTGTCTAGACATGAATAGTTAAAAACACTAAAACGCTACACAGATCCGAAGTTTAAACTTGTTTAAATTCATATGGAGGAGCTACTGGCTGTGAATCCGTTGTGCAAACCCTGCTTCCAGTGAAGACAGGGAGGACACGCCACCAAAACAGAATTTAAAACATAACTGGATTCTGATACATCTAAAAATAAAACCATCACCCCTTTCAAAAAGGTAAGCATCTCTGAACTCCTCAGTCAATTTTCAGTCTGAACATTCAACAGGTCAGTATTTTGGACCTTCTGACTTTCTCTTTGAAAAACTGAAGTACAGAATTCATACTTCAGCCGTTGGGTTATCACCATCTCAACTAGATGAGCAACTCCAACACGAGTAATCTAACATATCCTAGGGTATCATTCATGCGACCTTTGCATCCTGATAAGCTGCCACGCAGCTGTTCTCTGAAGAACTCTCTGTTGCTTTACAGCTTCACCAACACAGCCTCTGAGACCCAAATATTATTTTTTAGTAAGTTGGAGCCTAGAGTACAGTAAGGGTAAACAAAAGATATTTGCAACAAAAGATTTTTTTTCTCCTCCCTTCAGTCCTCCAGGGACTAAAGAAAGAAACTTTGCGTATACAGCATGCTTTTAAGACTCACAGCAGCAATGTTCTAAAAACAAACCAAACCCCTTCTCCTAGTGATGTCACAAATATGAATTAACACTTTCTATACTCCTAGTTTAATACGAAGTTCAATACATCACAGAGCTTACGTCGTAAAACCTCTCCTTTGCTGAGTTTTGCCTTAAGGTAACACTGACCTTAGTACACAACAGAGCACCATAAGATGAGTGGGCACATTAGTTGGATTGAGCATTGCTGGTGTATCTGATCTCATACAGGCCAAAAACGCCCTCATTCTTCGGTTCTTGTCTTCTACTGCTTTTCCCAGCCACAGCTTCTTCAGATTAGGACAGGTCCATTCCCTGAACGCAAGTGCTTCCACCAGCTCAGGGGTTTGAGGAGATTTTCCTTTGTAAGCAGCCCATTCTTTAATTATCACTGGTGAAACTACAAAATGGAAACAGTCGAAAGGAAAAAAAAAAATCAGAGTTAGAAAGCAGCGTATATTTAAAACTTTGTATGCAAGAGATTTTGATCCAGAAAGCGTCACTTTGGGGTTGCAAGAGATACCAATGTTCTGGAATACACGGCCAAACTGGCAAATCAGACTCTGTCCGGACCAGCTTTCAACTGTGATCGCTTACGAACGAAGCGCGTGGAACCAAGCGCACACTATGAATGCTGGATTAGTATTTTCAATTTACATACAATATACAACATACAGGAACTACATATATTTTTCTAAAACAAACAGCGTAATTTGAAAATGCAATTTCCCCCTAAAATATCGGTGTCATTCATCAAAAACCTACAGTGATAAACAAATATACTACATAAACACAAATATATTCCATATGTGGTCTTCTAAGGACAATATGATCCTACTGATTTTATTCAAATCAGATTTAAAACCTGCATTATACTTGTTCGTTCTTGTTCAACTACTGCAGTGGAATGGGATCTCAAATATAGGTGGGTTTGTTGGGGTTTTTTTCCCTAAAAATTTTACAGAACATTACATAAGTCTTTCAAATTACTGGGCTGCTTTCTATTAAGAGGTTAGTATTTTTGTGTCTGTTAAGCTCCCCTTCATCCACATCAAAACAAAGACCGTTCAACTCTGTATTGCTGCTAAATCATCTCCCTTTTTCATGTCTGAAAGCAACCGAAACAGAACACAAGGGATTTTTTACAAAATACCACAAATTCAAGGCCAAGAAGTGATACCTTTGGCCTTGGAACGCCCACCCCGTCTGACACAGCTCAGAATTGGTTTGCACCCTGCTTAACTCAGAGCCCAGTTATGCGGTGCGGAAAGATTCAAGCAGCTTGTTAGGGCAGCTTCAGGTTACAGCCCGGAGAGACGCACGGCAGGAGCACGGACCCGCTCCTTCGGCTGGAAACCCTTCTGCTACAGGTTGACAAGAGCGTGCTGCTGGTGCCAGGGCAGCCCTTACAGCTCCAAAGTCTCCTTCAGCCATCGGTCATCAGCCATACAACTAATTTTACAGTTTGGGGCAGGCAAACCATGGCAGAGGTGATGACTGGGATTAAAAAAAGAAGCTCCAGAACATCCCAAAACACTCTCATGCTTTTCTGGAATAAAACTACTCTAGCATTATAGCTACATTTCACAGAGCTCAGGATAAGTTTTGCAAAGATAACTCACAGCAACGAAAAGAAATATTCTGGTATATTTAGTTGGTAGCCTCACTACAAAACCATGTTCTATTTTGGTTGCTACCGGTTTTCAGATGCCACCAAGCTACACAAGATGGGCTTTAACAGCCAGCAGAGCTACTCCATTACTCAGGCACAGCTTATCAGACTGGTTTTCACTTCTTGTTTAGGCCTGGGAGAGTAAACATGAACAAATAAAAGGATGTATTTTACGTAGGCTTTCAAAGACTCGTTTAACTGCTTTAGGTCTCAGAAGCAAGAGATACTTTTGGACCAAAACTGCTTAGGTCTCTTAGCAAACAGATAGGAAATGCACTGAGGCTACTATGTCGAATAGATTGATCTGTGTGCAGTGAAAAAAAAAAACAAACCCCAAGCTGCTGACAACTGACATAATATAGTTGTTTGTGGGTTTGGGTTCTTTTTTTCTGACCACCTCCTCAGCTTCTACAACTCCTGTGACAGCAGACGCCAGCAAGGAAACAGAGCTTTGCAGAACACAGATGTTTCACTCGTCTTTCTTTCACATACATTTCACATATAAAGACCTCGAACTTAGAAGAAGGCAATACTTTCTGTCAGCATTTTCTACCTGCAATCCCATGTTTCCACATTCAAATCTGGTTCAAAGCTTTTAATCGGGGGATGACAACTTCCACGACCCTATGAGATGAAGGCCAAGGAAGAGCACCTCAGTTTGCTCTCAACACATACCATCTGCAGTAACGCGTTACCTGCACAGGTCACACTGGAGACCCACCCTGGCTTCACAATTTTGCAAAGTAATGGTTATTAGGGGAAGGTAACCATGCTCCTTGCAGAGGGCTTAACACGAAGGACACTCCAGGGGCCTGGCAAACAGGATCCCCTCGGAAGGAGGGGGGTGAGCAGCTACAGCGGTATCGGTTGACAAGTCACTGTGGCACTGTTCACCCAACTTCAGCATTTAATGTAACACCTGAATCTAGGACTCGTCCACATCCACTTCTTTCTCCAGGGCATTTCTTACACCTTTGACAACTCCGTGCTGGGACTGCTGCCAAAACCACCATCTTCCCCAGCTGCTGAGGACTGCTTGTCCTCAGAGGAACGTTTCGTGTTTTCCTCGCAGGACTTCCACTTGCAGATAAGCAATGTCTACCCTGAAGACTGTATTAGCTACAATGAACACTCAGGATGAGAGCGTGTTCAGCAACAAGATCACAGTGCTAATTACACTGTTTTTCATACTAAACTTCCTCCTGCTGCTGGATCAGCAGACATGAACACTCCAAGCAGCCTAAGCAACTGCACTATACACTGACACCTGCTTTGAACATTACCCTCCCGACGCTTTAAGGTCAACCCAAGTAAGATGGGTCAGCATCAGTCTGCACTAGGGTAGGCTGCCTGCTAAACATGTGAACGCTGTTACAGGCTCCAAAGCCATCAGCAACAGCATCCAACACGCTCCGGCTGCCTGCTACAGTCCTTGTTGCTAATTACAGCCCAGGTGGTTTCGGTATTCTCTTTACGTTTTTTTCAGGACCTGAAGGTGAGGTGTGAGGTACCTCATACCACAAGATGAGCTAGCTAATGCAGATTAATCAAGCCTCATTTTTAACCTTACAGTCTTTACTGACAGCACAGCTTGACTAAGCACGCTTGATTTTGCAAAAGGGCTACTGCCCAAGACATGGCTTTCCTTTTGGCAGGAACAGCATCAGCTGAGTACATCCTTGATAGAGAACAGCACATCACAAGGTGGCTATGCTTAAAATAACAAACCTTTGGATCCAACCAGGAGTTATGACAGCTTGTACAAGCGTGCTTTTTTCCACTGAGTGGAAAGGGCAGATGGTTTCACCTACACACGTGTATTTACCAGAACATGGGAAATAATTTGTTTCAGAGCTTGAAAAGAAGAGCAAGTCAGGCACTTGGGCTGCACCTCCTCAGAAGGAAGGGCAGCGCAGCCAGTGCTGCGCCCTTGGCAGCAAGACACAATCCAGAGCTCTGTGATTCAGCTTCTCATATCCTCTGGGAGCAGACATGAGGACATGTACAGCAAAGGCATTACTTAGCAGACAATCATCACTGACGAACCTCACTGACTACCTCTTCCAACTGACCTGCTGGTTTTTTTATTGGCTTTTCAACTACTTCCAAATAATAATGATTTAAAAGACAGGAAGTCATCCATTTTATGAAAGATCCATTATCTTGCTGTCTATATATTTAGTAATAATACTGATGTGTCAGTTTGTTACATATTTTTCACAGCCTCCTAAAACTCTCGCATGCAATATACGTGCAAATTATTCACGCCCAATTACGATGTTGCCAGTGTTATGGTTTGTACAACAAAGATGACGGGATTTTAGATATTATTCTTTAACTCTCTACATAAATCTTAACGACAATATACTTTTCTTTAGAAATTAACTTCTTCCCATCTTGCACAGCCTGCCCAATTCTTGCTATTTTGTACAAGAGGTGAACAAAATAAATGTATTCCTGTAACACAGTCCTTTCAAACCACAGGCTTGCGTCTTACCTCAAATCCACCTGTGCCAGTATTGTTAGCATTGCAGTGAAGCAACTAACTTTTGGGCAGATGTTAGAATTTTTTTTTTTCTCTTTTTTTTTTTTTAAGAGCGTGGTCAGTCCTAAGATAGAAGTAGGTCAGTAACTGAATGTGCCCTGCAGCAAGATTTGCCAGAGCTCCTGAAACTAAACCAAGACTGCAGTAGCATTCTTAGCCTCCATTGAGAATACACCTCTGAAAAACAGTATAAATGAGGAGAATATAGAGATTATATGGGTATGCTCCACAGCCTACAGAGAACATTCTAGGTTTACAAGCTAAAAACATCCTGAAAACTGAAACAGACCTTCAGCACTCAGCTACTTCACCACTACAAACGTTGTAGTACACTTTTCAGGACAGAAGTCAAATGAGGATAAATCAATACCGCAAGTGACTTCACTATTCTAATCCTGAAATGACCTTGTACCCTGAAGTACTACTATGTTGTGTGCATTTAAAGAAATAAGAAGTTTGTGACAGTACGTGTGCTCAGATATTATTCAAGCAGGGTAAATATTAGTTCCCGCAAAATAACTGGCTAAGACAAAGAGTTTTTCAAACATCGTTGGAAGATTACCACCTTCACTATGAATGTACAAAAACACTTTACAATCAAAAACGGGAAGAGAAAAGGGAATTAACATAAAGTTTACAACTGATTCTTATTTTTATCCTTTTACACATGCAGACTGTCAATGATGCTTTCATACATTCTAAATATCTGATTCTTAGTCTAGTGACAGCAGACTCCTATATATAAATACTTCTGGTGCTGCTGCCATCCACTTGATGCTTTAGCATTCCTTTAACCTTTATAAGATGCTACTGTAAAGTTCAGTCATTTCCTTGTATGCATTTCATTATAAGAAAAACACTTTAGAATGAGGAGGTTGAATTTTCTGGAATGACAGCAATGCCTGGAAGCAGAAGACTCAGAAAGACAACTTCCAGATCAATATGAAGATTAATATTCATCTCTCTAAATTAGTAAAAGGACCATTCGACAAGTCTGTTCGCAGTTTAGTCCGTCTTCACCCAGGTTCACCTTTCCTTACATTACACCTGACTTCTGTGGATTTTACAGCAAGTTTTTGTATGCCAGTACCTGAAAGATACTAAGGACCTGCAAATGTCACTGAAGTATGTTTATACATTTGGGAAGACAGATTAAGTTAACATGTGCACCTCTCATTTTTGAAAAAGTATGCAAATTTGCATGCATGTGCACAGAACAGAAGTTTCCCATAATCAAGTTGTCACATACTTCGAGAATTACATCACAAACTTACTTGCTGCAACCCTGACAGCAGCTTGAGCATGCGTTTAAAAAAACAAACCCCAGCACTTGCTTAGAAATAGTAATGTTTATAGTTCTTAAACTACTACAGGAAATAAAATTTCAAATTAACAACATCTTTTTTCATTATCCATGGATCAAATAAGCCATAAATTCCTCCAGCATTAGCTACACTGACAAAATCTTAGTTACTATTCTCATTCAAATCATGGTACAAATGGATATCAAAACGTAGCAAAGGGAAGAGAAATAAGAGAATGGATTCTACAATACATACATTCTGGTGGAAGTCTGTTCTTTCTAAAAGCAAGTCTTTCAGTTTTCTTTCTGCTTTCTGCCAAACTAAACAGGACTCCGTAAACATACTGACGAACTGGCCTATAAAGGAGAGCAGCAGGAGGCAGGTCTTTGTTGGCTTCATCTTCTATAGAAACGGCAATTTTGATTTCACCCTTTTGCATGAAAGAAAACAGAAAAAAGTAACATGTTATAGTGAACACAAAGTATCCAGATATGCATGGTAACGCAATCCAGCTATACTATAAATCTCATCTAGTCAAGAAAAATGTGATTCAGCACTAATGTGGATCTTATGTATGTGAAGGTAACACCAGAGGAGGATTACCCTACAATCTACTTGCTTTCCTCCAAGAAGTTTCCAGGCTCTGATTATCCCTGTTGCTTTCTTCTGTCGCTTCTGCATCACACACACATTTTTTATTTTTTTGTCTGGGCTACCTGCAGGTCAGGATTATCTAAATATTGATCTTCAAATATGGACACATTAAAGCATGAAATAGTACACATGAAGATACAGTTATGTGCTAATAGACAGTGAAAATACATTTGAAACCGATCTAGATTTCAGACAGTTACTTTAAAAAAATCTTCATGATGTCTAAAAACACCAGTCTAACTTCTTGGTGCAAGGATCTGAAACAGTACCAGGGACTCACTGTAAAAAACAACTTTATGAGAGGACCTAGTAAAAAAATCGTAACTGGGAATTACGTAAGTAAGGGTTTTTTCTGAATGTATATTAATAAAGGTTTAGCATTTTATACTCTTTCAGAAAAAAAAGCATGTAAGAACCTTCCAACATTCTCTCTCAGAACAGCAGCAACATTCTGTTTTCTGCAGCTGCAAATCCATCCATGCTAAGATTTTAGGCATAAGGTTTGTCTGAAAGGTCTCTACACATAATAGCAACGTGACCTGGCACACCTCTACCTGCCAATTTCTAAAGAGTCCCATGATTATACAACAAGGTACCTGTCAGTGTACCCATGGTATACTTTAGGTTCCCTGTGCAGACTGTTCAAAAGCATTTCAGGTAGCGGGGAAAGAAAAATAGTCTTCAGTAGTACTGATTTATTTTTGATGCTGTCATCTCTAGTTTTTTCTCTGCTGGGAGTGGATTTCTCACATGCAGGCACTTAATTTGTTTCTTCCCATTGTGAGGTATATTAAATATCAAGTAGTACGTAAACGTACTAAGAAGATTTGGCTACGCAAAGTATGAAACAGCACTGGCATCAATGGTCTTCATACACCCTTTGAATCTTCCCTGCTTTCTTTGATAAAGAAGGGAAATATAAGAACATGACAGCAACACAAGCTATGGTGCAAAACAAACACATGGAAAATAGGAAATCCAAAGCTCAGCCTTGATGCAGACACTTCTGTTTTTACAGATTTCTGATCCCTGCCTACGGTCCTTACTGACCTGAAGCAGACTTTTAAGATGGATACAAGTTAACAGGAACGTGGACGGTACCATTTTGCTAGATGCTGTACAAACATGTACACTGGATGGGCTTGGTGTACGAGAACCAGTACTAAGCATTTTGAACACTAACGAGGAAGAATATTGAAGCTGACTCTTTTTGGGACTCATTTGTTTGCACTTAGAAGGAACAACAAGTTACGTCCTTTGAGACCAGATGAAGTTGAAGACAGAGCTGTGCAGGCACACCGCTGCTCTGGCTCCTTCCCAGTTCAACACAAAGCAGACTTCCGCAGCTCCCAGCCACACTGAAGCAGGTTATCACCACCTACTGCTGCAAGCAACTCTCCCACAGCCTTCCAAAGTGTCCTCACAAGGCTATTCAGGTAGAATTTTTTACTGGACACACTGAACAAAGAGTCCTAGGCTGTGTGAAAATGCCTGCAGCCTACCTGGGATCTGAAGGCTAGCATATAAAATAGCCATACCAAAAAACAAAAAAAAGCCATCAGAAATGTTCTGCCAAACTAAAATGCACAAAAACGCAGAACATCATCAAGTTCATCTATAATTACATTTTAGGATTATACAAAACTGATTTCTTATAGCTGCTATGCTTCTATCATGGCTAGCTACCAGGGATGGGAGGGATCAAACCGTGAGGGAAAAGTATTTTTGAACACTGAAAATAGAAAAGACGTAGCACAGACAGCAGAGCACACAGCAGGAGTTTTTAGGTGGAAATGGACTATTTTTATAAACACACACGCATATATACATACATACAGAGACATGTACAGATGCGTAGAGATATAAAAATACCTACATATATTCAGGAAAAATTATTAATGTTGTAAGTAAACGCTTCTAATTACAGTCATCTCCTATTTATTGCAACAATGTATCAGACCAGATCAGTGGTTAAAAAACAAGGTAAAAAACCTGCTAGAAGTACTAAAAATGGACCAAAACTCAAAGCATTAAAAAGGATGTAAATTTATTATAATCTTTAGCCAGAAATCTAAGTGCAATTATCTTCACAGAGTCACTATTTTGCAGTACATAATTTTTAAGTGTCATACCTTGGTTAGGACATGAAAGATGTAGGGATACATTAACCCCTTCTTGTGCCTGTGTTCTGCCACTCTTAACACTTCAGGTGCTACAGGAGGTAATGGAGGGGTCGTAATATCCATGTGGTTTCTGGTGGGCATTGATAACAGGCATGGGATTTGTGGATTACTGGTTTGATTCCCTTTGACTTCAGCTGCCTGACTTCCTGAAGAAGCATTAGAGGAACCTTCTGCCTGTAACAGAACATAAAAAATAAAGTGCTTTCGAACGTGTATGGAAACGTATCAGGAGATTGACCAGCCAACAGAAACAGCACAGTTCATTCTTCACCCACAATGAGACCAGTAAATCTTCACATCACGTATCAGTAGGCAGAATACACTAGCTGAAGCTGGCTAAAAGTTTTTCAGAAAATGTAAATTTACAGCTACTGTTTGCTAGCCAAAGCAAATTACTGAAAAAATAAACATTATGGTAAAGCGTTAACCTATTAAAAGCAACAGTAATTATTTTCTTTCATTTTTAATTGCAAAATACAGAAGGAGGACTGATGACATCTTAATGAAACAGGAATGACCTCTTAACTAAGCATTTCCAAGATATTGCCAACGAAATGGGTTAGCTGACCGTCATGAAGTCTATGATTTACCTAGACTTTCATTAACACATCCCTTCTCACTTCACATTTCTAAATGAAGCAGGAAAAACTACACAGTTCCATTTAAAGACGTTTAAAATAAATAGTGTCTGAACTCAAAAGCCTTGTAAGTGTTTTGTCATTTGCTTTTTAAATAAAATTCTCTGAGAAGATGACTGTAAGAGAAAATGGCAGCATTTTCAGACTGCAAGATTAAAGTGGCATTTTATTCCATTTCTAGAAATGTAGTTCACAAATTCATAGGAAAAACATGACCCAAAAAACCACTGTAAACCTCCTGGTGAATACGCCTTATGTAAGCATTTATGTTGTGTATGTCATAGATACTACCAAAAAAAGTAGAGTTCATTCCTAAAAATCCTTGTCTTCAAAACTGAAAGCTGTTTTTAGCTTAAGAGTTCATACTAGTTTCGTGCCTATAAACTATTATAGCAATATTAAAAACTTTTGAGACTGAAATTTAATTTGTTCACTTGATGATACATCATGCATGAACACCTTCACACTTTGTGTAGAAAATTTCACATGCTTCATTAAGACTTTAAAAACAAAGCTGAAACAGAAATGGCCAAAGCCACGAAATCCCACACAACAAGGAACGTAAAAACAGGCCCAAACAAGCTCAGTTTGTTCACTTCGGGTCCTTACAAAAAATACAGAAATGCACCAAATGAACCCCACACAACCTCCACAAATCTTCTGTAGGAAGGTATACGTTAGTAAAAACATGCTCTAGCAAAATATCGAAGGGGCAACATTATTTTCAGATTACATTTTAAACACATAATCAAAGAGAATGTTACTGTAAGATTACATTTTAGAGCTGGAAATCCAGATTTCATTTTATTTATAAAAATGAAAATATACAGAAGAAATGGTTAAAACCTGTAGACCAGCACACTTGTAACACAATACACTAACATAGAATGTTTTTATAAACACGTGAGCTATCACAGCTCTATTAAACACAAAGAGTAGCTTACAGAACTGCCCATTACTGGGGGCACAGAGGGAAGAAGACAAAAAACCCCGAACAGCAGCAATGCTTTCACCATTTCACAGAATCCCAGCATGGCAGGGGTTGGCAGGGACCTCTGTGGGTCACCCAGCCCAGCCCCCTGCCCAAGCAGGGTCACCCACAGCAGGCTGCACAGCACCGCGTCCAGGCGGGGCTGGAATATCTCCAGAGAAGGAGACTCCACAGCCTCCCTGGGCAGCCTGGGCCAGGGCTCCGTCACCCTCAGAGGGCAGGAGTTCTTCCTCGGGTTCAGA